TAGACTTTTTTTTTTTTTTTGAGACAAAGTCTTGCTCTGTCACCCAGACTGGAACGCAGTGGTGTAATCTTGGCTCACTGCAACCTCTGCCTCCCCTGGTTCAAGCGATTCTCGTGCCTCAGCCTCTGGAGTAGCTGGGATTACAGGTGCCTGCCACCATGCCTGGCTAATTTTTGTATTTTTAGTAGAGATGGGGTTTCACCATGTTGGCCAGGCTGGTCTTGAACTCCTGACCTCAGGTGATCCACCCACCTCGGCCTCCCAAATTTCTGGGATTACAGGCGTGAGCCTCCATACCTGGCCAGAAACATTTTAAGAATAGAGTTCTCTTCCCAATTTGGCCGAGTCCTGATGTTTGCAGGGACCCTGACTTCAGAAAAAATATCAAGTGGGCCAAAGGCACTGAGAACTACCAAATGCGGCCCACTAACTCTGCCACCACTCCTCGATAATGACATCAGGCAAAGCAAAGAGCTACTGGGTGGACATTATCTCACTGGAGTCCTCGTAAGCACATGAGATAATAGTATTATCCTCCCATTTTATAAAAGAGGAAACTGAAACCTGGATGAGCAAATTACTTAACCTAAGGCAACCAGTTACTGAGTGGAGGAGGTAGAATTTGAACTGACCCCAAAGTCCCTAAACTGCCTCCACCCATCGTGGACAGGAGACATACACTCAACATATAAATAATCATGAGTGCGTCAGCCAGCCATTATTGGGTCATCTTGTCTACCCCGACCCCACCATTTCTAGGGAAGACTTTTATTTAATGGTGGGGGTAGGGAGGCTCAGAGGGTGGGATCATTATCAAGAGTTTCAGGGAAGAGGATCTCATCATAGTCCTTTCAAAAGTTCTGGCCCATGTCTCCCAGAGCAAGCTGTCCAGTCTCTCCAGGTTACTCATGCTGTCAGGGAGCTTTGCTTCAAGACCCGTTTTTTTTTTGTTTTTTGTTTTTTTGTTTTTCTGGGTTTTTGGCCCAGGCTGGAGTGCAGTGGTGCAATCTTGGCTCACTGCAACCTCCACCTCCTGGGTTCAAGCAATCCTCCTACCTCCGTCTCCCGAGTAGCTGGGATTACAGGCACATGTCACCATGCCCAGTTAATTGTTGTATTTTTAGGAGAAACAGGGTTTCACCATGTTGGCCAGGCTGGTCTCGAACTCCTGGCCTCAAGTGATCTGCCTGCCTTGGCCTCCCAAAGTGCTGGGATTACAGGCGTGAGCCACCACACCCAGCCTAAGACCCTTTTCAAATTTTTTTTTTGTGACAAGTTCTCATTCTGTTGCCCAGGCTGGAATGCAGTGATGCAGTCATGGATCACTGCAGCCTCCATCTCCTAGGCTCAAGTGATTCTCCCCTCTCAGCCTCCCGAGTAGCTGGGACTACAGGCATGTGCCACCACACCTGGCTAATTTTTGTATTTTTTTGTAGGGATGAGGTTTTGCCATGTTGCCCAGTCTGGTTTCGAACTCCTGGGCTCAAGCAATCCACCCACCTCCCTTTTCAGTTTAAAACCAAACCTCACACTTGCCTCACTACCCCTCCTCCTCTGCAGATGTAGCTGTGGAGATTCTAGGAGCAGATGGGCTCTCTTTCAGACAGGAGGTCTGGCGGAGATGCGCCCACGGCTTTTCCTCTTCCGGACTTGCTGCTGATCCACTGGCCAGCTCCAGCCAGGCCCAGCTACCAGCTCTGTAGTGTTCCTGGGTCCCAGACCCTCGGCCTGAGCTATTGTGAGCCCAGCCTGTGTGTGCGTGTGCATGCACGTGTGTGTGTATAAGCAGCTGTGGGAGCCAGGACAAGATTAACCTTGGTCTGCTCCCACCCTCTGGATATGGGGAAGTGCCCACTCAGCAGGGAATGCCTAGAGGGCAAAGGTGAAAAGTCCAGGGAAGGGGACGGAAGGGGTTATGGTGGGACACAGGGCTGAGGAAGAGAAATGTGACTTATTCCCAAAGGTGCCCTAATCAGGTGGACCTGGAACCAGGCTAGCCACTCACTTTGAACAACAGAGCAGAACAGGGACTGCAATTAATTAAGTACCAGGGGAGGGTCCTCCTATCTCAGGGGAAGAAGGCGCTGCCAGAGGCCCCTCAGAGCAGGAGGCTGCTGCCTCTCCAGCTCCCAGTGCCTGTCTCATTCATACCTGCTAGAAGGTAGGGCCCCCACAGCACAGATTCCTGGCCACTCCTGGAAGATTTCCATCCAACCCATTGCCCTACCACCACCACCATTCTTACACAGAGCCCTCCTCCCTAACCTAGAAGAGCAGTAAAGATTCTGTCTAACTGAGGGCTTGGCCTGATGGGGCTGGGAAAATCTACCTTGGTCTCTAGACCAGCCCTGGTACAATCACTAGGAAATTCCCTTGCCAAACAAGCACCACCAACCACTATAGCTACCGGTTATTTAGTCTCTGCTACATGCCAGGCACTGTGCATTATTTCATTTAAATCTTATAACAGCTCTCTCTGTTATGATCCTCATTTTACAGATGAGGGAACAGATGCTGGGAGAAGTTCATGAGTGTGCTAGTGAAGGGAAGGTCACATAGCTACTATATGCTGGAGCTGGATTCCACCAAGGCCAGAGGTTTGCCCTCCCCTTTAGGTCTCCAGCTCAGAGAAGAACAGAAGGAATCAGAGGACAAGTAGATGGAGATGCCGGACAAAAGTCCCAACAGGGTGATCCCAGAAAGTAGAGGCTTGGTTAGGGTAGGAACTGGGAAGAGTCAAGCTGGGCTCTGCCCTACAGTGTGGGACGCATTCCCCTGAGTGCAGGACGGCCCAAGTAGGCAGAGGACAGAGTCCGGGTCTGTAGAGGAAGCAAATGCATCCTGAAAGGCAACTCCAAGTCCTCTAGACCCGAGTGGGGGTTTGCAGGGCTGGCAGCCTGATCCCACGAGATCTCAGAACAAGAACCTACTTGCTCCTCAGATCTGGTGCCTTCTCTCCTGTGCCCCATGAAGAAGGCTGGCTCTGCCTAGTGCAGGACAGACAGATGGGAGCCTCGATACTTGGAGCGCCACCCCCATTCTTCCTTCTCCCGAGGACTGATGCAGACCAGAGAACCCCAGAGTGGGCCGCAACCTCCCCATAATGGGGCAGGGGTTGACAGTAGAGGCTTAGGGTCAGAAGGAAGTGGGCTGGATCCCACCTCTGTGTGACCTTGGAAAAGCTGGTCTCAGAGACTCAGTTTCTTCACCTGTAAAATGGGGATGATAACAATACCTACTTCATAAAGTTGTGACACACTGCTTGGCACACAGTAGATGTTCAACAAATGGTGGCCACTAAGGCTTGTCTACTCTGCACACGATAAGTCTGGGAAGAACAACTTCTGGCACGCGTGGAGAGCTTCTTCCATTCTCCTGGCAGGGTATGGGGAGAGTCCTGGAGACCCCGTGGGGAGAGTCCTGGGAACCTAATGGTCAGGTATACCCCAGATTAAGGGTGGGGGAGGTCAGCCCCACAGGCTCCTCAGCTGCGCAGGAGGTGGCTGGGACAGGGTAACCCGAGATAGTAGCTTTGCTGTGGCAAGGTGACCCTCTCTCTGGAACGCCTTCAGGATGCAAACTCAGACCTGGAGCCAGTGTCGCCCTGTACTCCACCGACCCTCAGCACCCTCAGCACCATTTTCTCAGGCCCCTCCCAAGTCCAGGCTAAAGGCAGAGGATCTCTGAGGACATGCCAGTCCACCAGGCGCTCCAGGCATCCTCTCAGGACAGTGTCCAGGAATGTGCCGCGTGCCCATGCCTGGGTGGGGAATGCCACGCGAACATGCCAAAGCTCACCGGGTGCTGACACAGGAGGGGCAAGCCGGTGGTGTCAGTGAGTCACAGGGCCCAGGCCACAGTTGGGTAACTGCTGAGGGCTGGGCTGGGGTGGAGAGGAAGGGGAGACAGTAGCAGACAGCGCAGAAGAGGTTCCAGGGCCTCCCACTCCCACAGTGTCAATCCTCCCACTCCGACTGCCAGGAGGTGCCCAGAGAGAAGGAAGAGAGGGGGCGCTGGTGCCTAAGAGGGTGCTGACCCTGCAGCACAGAAAACCCCTCACTGTCTCTGTAGCCCAACTCCCACCCAGCACAAGGTCTGCAGACACCTTCAGGGAATCCCCGCCCCCAGCAGGGCGAAAACAGAGGCCTCCAGTCCAGACCCGATTTTGGATTTCAGATTCCTGATGGTCTCCCCCAACTACAGCAGAATCCTCAAGGCACATCTCCTTAGCCCAACAGGTCACCGCCCACTACTCCCCCCCTCTCCCCTGCCCCCGCCTCTTTTCCCACTGCTGCATTAACCCTCTGGCGCCTGCCGATGAGGGGTGGAGGGGGCACTGCCCCTTTGGTCTTCCGGGGTGGAATGAGAGAAGAGGCAGCATTCCCCAGACCCCTGCCTGCCCCAGAACTGGGACCTGCAGGGCTTCACGTGTCCTTCCACGTTCTTCCCAGGGCTCCGGCCTCCCACCCGCTGCCTGCCGCTCTGGAAAGTTCACCAGAGCCCAGGAAGCCCTTCAAGGCGGCGATGTGGCCCCACACTCTCGGGTCCTCTGGTCTCTGGAGACTCCTGCCCCTTGCCCTTCCCAGAATGAAGGGAGCTTAGAAAGCGCCTGGTTCGGGACTGGGTGGAAAACTTTGCTTTGTAGGGTTCAGACAGGAGCCCAGGGGCCAAAGTGATCCCAGATGGAGACTCCCTGAGGGGGCGCAGGGTCTTAGACTGCAAAATAGCCCTCCCTCTCCAGCACCTGGAACTTAGGAGTAGTCTTTCCAGGGTACCCCCCACCCCTCAACACACAACACAGTATCACACAGATCACGCCTCGTGATCCTCTGCTGTCCTCTCGCCGCTCCGGTATTTCCCTCCAACCTCCCGCCCCAGGGCAAAAGCAAAACTGCGCCTTTAAGAGCCGTTCCGCTTACCTTTGCTCCGTACACCCGGCGCCGCGGTGCCCCCTCCTCCGACCTCCCCTTCCTCCCCGGCGCACCGCCCGCGGGACTCACCGCGCGTGTCCTGGGGGCTGCGGTGCGCCCGCTCCCTCCCGCGACGGCCGGGGTGCCGCGGGGTTAGGTGCCGTGCCTTGCGCCCTGCTGGGGTCTCCGCCCGGGCACGGGGCAGCTTCCCCTGCTCTGGAAAGGTGAGCAGTTCCCCAGAGAAGCTGCAACCTGAGCTGGCCGAGGAGGAGGTAGAAGGGGAGGGGAAGGGAGGGAGTGGAGGAAGGTGGGGAAGAGGAGGGAGGAGGAGGAGGAGGAGGAGGAAGGAAAATGCCCGGCCCCCGCCAGAGTTTTTCACATGTACAAGTTGACTCCGCCCCCGGCCCTCCCGCCCTGCCCACAGCCGCTACCAATCCCCAGGGCTCCCTCTGCCCGGGTGCCCACCCCTTTCTCCCACTCTGGGAACCAGGGTCCAAGTGCCTCTTCCTGTTTCGTTTCTAAAGCCGGCCCTGAGAGCCTTGGCTAGGGGATGAGGCCTTCTGGACTGGATCACCCCAGGACACCAAGGCGCCAGGGGTACACTGACAGTGCCTGCCTATCTCTAAAGCAATGTTCCTACCTCTTCTAGGTACCTCCCAGTACCTAGCGCCCTAGGAACGAATGTGCATGGACAAATTTTGGTGGTCATTTTCTTGACAATAGTAGCCCTCGGGCTCCCCTTCTACTCTATCCAGTGGGACTTGTCACTTACCTTTCCAGACAAAGTTCCCACCTCTCCAGGACCTGAATGAAGCCCTTGCTACCAGCCATCATTCCCATTTTCCTCCCCGAAGGATAATTCAACGTGTCCTTTTGGAATTAAATTCCACAGGATATTTGAGAATCACCCAAGAAAAGTTACAGAATGGCTGGTTCAGCTAGTGGCACTCTCATTTTACAGAAGGGGAAACAGGCCCAGCAAAGCAATTGAACTGGCCCAAAGTGCCACCAGAATTAATGGCGAGCCATGATTAGAACTCAGACCAATGGCCATTGCACCCACATCATCTGACTTCAAGGATCACAAAAACAAAACAAAAATCTGGGGATGGAGGTGCAGGGCACAGTCCCCACTGCCAGGCCCCTCTCATCTCTGCTTCCTCCTGAGGGCTGTGAGGAGAGGAGATGTGTCTTGGCTCTAGGGCACCTCATCAAGGAGGTCTGTGTCCCCTGCCCTCCCAGCGGGCTTGGCTACTGCAGTCTGGGGTCTCCGACAGGGAAGGTCTCCTTAGGAGGGGGTGCTCCACAGTGTACATGTGCTTCTACCCGAACCCTTTCCCTGGGGACCGTGAGTTGTTGAGAATAGAACAGTTTCCTTCTGGAAGACATGGGCCTGAGGTCCCCCTCTCAGCAGGAGACAGGAGAATGAAGGAAGACACTGGGCCCATGCATGAAAGTGACCTGTGGGTAATTGACATCTCACAGGGGGCCTCCCAACTCTTTTTTTTTTACCTCTGCTTTCTCTGCTAGGGCATGCAGATTTCCTGGGTACAAGCACTTCCTAAAAATGAAACCGCCAAGTGTTATTGGGGTGCATGGATCTAGAGCCTTTAGGTGTGCAGCAACCTGCCTGGCTCCATAGTCCAGTGGGTGGTGGGAAGACCGGGGAGCAGGAGGCCATGAAGAGGTTTGGAAGGGGCAGGGAGGGAAAGGGAGAAGGACTACAGCGAAGGAACTGTTTACTAGCTTTACTAGCAGATTAGAGAGAGTGGGGCCAAAGGGTAGAGTTTCAGGGAACTAGGGGGGTGAAGTCAAGAGGTCTCCACAAACACTTTCTCAACATCTCTTATATGCCAAATGATAGCCAGGACTCTGGGCACATAAGATGAATATAACCCAGTCCCTGCCCACAAGAAGCTCATGGTGTAATGGGGCAGGGAAGCAAACAGTTAGGATGCTATAGGAGGGAACTTAGTGTTATGGATGCCTGGGAGGAGCTGTTCTGCTTGAGGTGAGGGTTACAGGATGAGGGCACAAGAGAGGGGAGGAAGGGTTTTACCTGTTTTTCCAGGAGGGATAATCCCTTGTGCAGAGTGCAGGGGTGAAAGAATATGGACCCACAGTTCTATGAGGTCAGAGCTTAAAGTCTGGGGTGGAGGTGACACTGTAGAGGCAGGCAGGTGCTGGGTCCTGAAGACCCCCAATTTGGAGGCTGATCCTGGTGGAAAATGAGAATGAGCTTAGACCACACAGCGGCATCAGGGAGGAGAGGAGAGAACTGATTTGAGAGATAGATAGGAGAAAGGGTCATAGAGCCTTGTGACTATTGGATTCTAGAAGATAAGGGAGCCAAGAGTGTCAAGATTGGAAGCACTGATGTGATAGGCTGAGTGGAACCTTGGAGCTTCTTAAGTGAGCCTTGATTCCCAGCACCTCCTTAGGTTGCTCTCTGAACTTGGGCAAGCGAACTAACCTTTCTGAGGCCATCTGTAGAACAAAGTTGCTAAAATCAATCTTGTATGGTTGTTGTGAATATTAGGGTAATGTATGCTAAGGGCCTAGCATAGGACTTGGCTCATAATGCAGAACTCAATAGATAATAAATATAATTACCATCATTCATCCATTCAACAAACATTTATTGAGCACCTGCTCTGTGACAAGGACTATACTGAATCCTTGCATTGGATAGATGATTTTAAGTCTGAGCTCCTATTCTCATGCAGCTCACTATTCAGGGGGAGAAAGATGTTCAGAGCAACAGTCAACTACCAAAGCAATATGGGCTGAGCAGAGGAAAAAGCCCCTAACTCTGCCCAAGAGAATTTGGGACAGCTCCACAGAGGAGAGATGGCACTGAAATGATGTAGGGCCAGCCACCTGCTCGGAGCCTGTCACATCACCCCCTGCCCCCCCCCCCACCACATGGGATTGCTTCAGAACCTCTGAAAGCTTCAGTTTTGAAGCATCGTCTTGCTTCTCAGGGTTGAAGGAAGAGGATGAACTGCAGGTGGGCATCTATATGAAGCCTGGAGAATGGCACGTCAAGCTTTGGCCACCTCAGGAAAGGGGAAGTGCAGATGGGCAGGTGGGAGGGGGGAACTAGGTAAGAGTGACCCTGGGCAGGGCTTCCTGGCTGGATAGGGAGCCCATGATATGCGGTCATACACATCAGTGGCCTGTGTATGTGTGCTCTTTGGGTCATCCTAATTTTTCTGCTTCTCATCTGTATCATTCCAAAAATTCCCTCTTTGGACTCCCTTGGTGTCCCCTGCCCTCCGATGCCAACTTTCTTTCTGTGCATCTCGCAATAAGCCCAAAACAGTCGAAGCAGCACTACCTAGGTCTTCCACTAAGGAGGGGCTCCTTCCCTGCTGCCTTACCAAGCAATACTTTGAGCTTTAAAGCCACATAAACTGTGTGACCTTGGGCAGTTACTGACGTATCTGACTTCCTTTCCTGTCCATAACATGGAGATGGTAACAGTCCCTATCTCATGGGGCTGTTGTGAGGTTTTAATAAGATGTAAACTTGGCACCCAATCAATGCTGTTTCTCTTTTCTGCAGCCCATTAACTCCCTCCTTGCAGAGGGACAGACAACAGACTCTCAGCTGGGGGTTTCCCTGGCACCCCAGTCCCTGGGGCCCATCCCCTGTGGGCCCTGCAGCCCCCTTCCCCTCTGCTAGTCTAATGGATCTGTGGCATCCCTGGGAGGCCGTGGTCACCCTAGCCGTGAAGCAGTGTAATGCTGGCAGGCCTGAGCAGCATGACAATGGTGGCCCCAGTGGCAGCTCAGCCCACTCCCCGCTCTGCTCCTGTCTCTCCTCCCCACTGCCAGTGACATGCCACTGCTCTGCAGATAGGACAGGCGTCCCTGGGTGCCTGAGGGCTGAGCAGGGAAACTGGAAACAGCTCTCCCTCACAGACTGTGTGGGCAGTGCATTTGAATAGCTTTTGAAAAACCAAAGTTCACGCCCACCCCACTTTCCCCTGGGAGGCACAGCATCCAGACAAGGAGAGTTCAGCCAACAGAGAATCTCCTTTCTGCACATTGTCACGGGCTCCCTTCCCCTCTGGCCCTGCATCCAAGCAGGCACAAGCTCTGAAAGCCCTGCAGGGACCTTTAGGAAGCCTGAGACTTGACTCTGCCCCTAAGGTGCAGAAATCACTTTGTTTATCTGGGCTTCTGTTTTCCTCTATAGCAAAATGGGAATAGTGTGAATACCTGCCTTTCAGAATGTGAGAATTAAATGCAAAGGTGACCGTCAAAGTGCTTTGCACACTGTAGAACGATCTGCATGTGTATGAGATCATTAGTGTTTGGCCAAAGGGCCCTTCTTATGGTTCCAGGAATCAAGTGAAGACATGAGAAATGAGAAGCCAAGTGAGAACAGAGAAACTCACCTCAATAGCCTGCCTTTGGCAGGCAGGAGGGAGACTGGCAGCAGAGACCTGAAGATGGACTGACCCATTATGGCCTAGCTAGTTAGAGGTCTGTGAGTCATTGGGACAGCAGGACTTGGCTAGACTGAGCCAACTCTTACTCCTCCTCTGGCTAAACCTAGGCCATTGTTTCCCAGTGATTTATGAGAAGTGGGGATGATTAGGAGAAGAATATCATTTACCTCATTGCAGTGTGATTCCAGCAGAGAGCCTGGGACTTTCTGCTTTATCACTGCACCAAGTGTCATATCCTTCCTTCACTATTTGTGGTGAAAGTACAAGCATGTGTGCACTCATGCATGTGTTTACACATATGCACGCATGCGTGCACACACGCACACACCATTCTAGATTTCAGATGAGGCAACAGCTGCATCCCCAGAGGGTTCTAGGACAGGGTGGACACATAAATAGAGTCAGCCAATCACAGACCAGTTGACCCTAGCAACTATCAAACCAATTAGAACCCCACCACTGCATCCAGTAGTGCCTTCCAAACTTACACACACACACACACACACACACACACACACACTCTCCCTTCAGGTTGACGCATTGCCATGACAACAGAATCACCACACAAAGCTGGTGTAAATGGGAAAGTGGTCCTTAGGAACAAGACTGGAAGTCTTTGGGGTGAGGCTGCAGGCCACACTGGCTGGGGTGGGCCACTGAGAGGATCTCTATGCAGGGTGGGGGAGGAGAGACAGCTGGTTTACCTGGGCTTTCTAAGCCCATTCTTTACCCCTAGAGAATGGGGTCAAAGGCTCCTACTTGGATTATAGTGAAATATAATGAAATTATTTCTCAACTGATAAGGATAGGAACCATAGATTTTCTTTTCAGCAAACCTTAAGAATTTTGAGACTTTTGGACACAAGAGAGTTGATTGATCCCCAGGAGGACCTAAAACCAAACCCTAAAACCCAGCTCATGAGTTCATTGGACAGCTGGATCTCAGTTCAGTTCGAAAGCAGTTACTCAATATCTGCCATGGGCCAAGCACAGGTGCTGATTTTAGCCGTAGCCAGGTAGAACTTGAGGAGTCAGTTGAACATATTGGTGAAGGCTTTTAGAAATGCTCCGGAGGCCTGTCGGATGGTGCTCTGGAGGTGGCTGACTGGGAAAGACTTTGCTCAGGGCCAAGGAAGAAGGCCGAGGTTCGAACCCTGCCCGCGCCACCGGCCCAGCTGGCCTTTAGCTTCCAGGCTCCACACCCCTCCTTCAGACAGATGCCAGAGAGGCCTTAACCTTAGCCATTAACCAGTCTGCCAGTGGCTCCTCCTCTGCCCAGTTGCTTCCAATAACTCCTCAACAGGGGGCCTTTGGGTCCCCAACCCCTCTTTCAGAATCTGATGAAATCTGAGGAGTCAAAACACATATGCACAATATTTTCCATTCATTTTCAGGAGCTATGGGCCTCCTTGTGCTCATTCACAGACTCCTTTGTGGCATATGGATCTCCTGCAACCCAGCCCTGCCTCCCTCGTCAACTCATCTTGATTTTCTCCCTCTCTTGTTGTGTCCAGCCACATAAAACTATGAGTACTTCTCTTGTACATGCCACTGTGTTTCACTCCTTCCTGCCTTGGTACATGTTCCCACCTACAGGAGAGGTTCTCTCCTTCACCACTTACCTAGTAAACTCCTATTCATTCTTCAAAACCCAGCTCAAGAGTCACCGCCTCCTTGGCACACACAGGCTCAATGTTGTCTACGCAGGCTTGATCACTCCCCAGTCAAAAGCATGTTTGTTCTATATACTTCTCCCACTGTGTGCCTCCCGGTGCATGGAGGCTCCATGTCTTCCTCCTTTACTGGGCTGAGAGCTTCCTGAGACTGTAGACCACATCTTTAGCTTTTGTATGCCCAGGACTAGTATACATGAGGTGCTCACTGGGGTCTAGGACAGAGGTCCCCAACTATTGGCGGCCTGTTAGGAACTGGGCTACACAGCAGGAGGTGAGCAGCAGGCAAGCAAGCAAAGCTTCATCTGTATTTACAGCCACTCCCAGTTACTCACATTCCCACCTGAGCTCTGCCTCCTATCATATTAGTGGCAGCATTAGATTCTCAGAGGAGCACGAAGCCTGTTGTGAACTGCGTATGTGAGGGATCTGGGTTGTGCGCTCCTTATGAGAATCTAATGCCTGATGATCTGTCATTGTCTCCCATCACCCCCAGATGGGACCATCTAGTTGCGGGAAAACAAGCTCAGGGCTCCCACTGATTCTACATGATGGTGAGTTGTATAATTATTTCATTGTATATTACAATGTAATAATCATAGAAATAGAGTGCAGACTAAATGTAATGTGCTTTAACCATCCTGAAACCATCTCCCTGCCCGGTCCGTGAAAAAACTGTCTTCCATGAAACTGGTTCCTGGTGCCAAAAATGTTGGGGACCACTGGTCTAGAGAACCAACATGGCAGAACTGAATTGGCCGAGGAAGCAAAACTGATGAAGGAAGAAGAGAACAAGCAGACCAGAAGTTAGGACAGGAGCAAGGAGAAGAGAGGTGTCGGAAAGGAAAGGGGAGTCAGGAGGTGCCCACAGAGCAAGATTGAAAGACATCATTGAATTTGGCAACTAGGAAGCCATTGGTAGGGTGGCCACAGGCCCAGTTTGCATGGGATTCTCCCAGTTCTAGCATTGAAAGTCCTGGGCAAACAGAGATGGTTGGTAACCCTGGATTGGTGACCTTGACAAGGGCAATTCTGGAGATGGGAGTAGGGCAGAGGCCTGAATGTGGTGGGCTGAGGGGTGAATGGAAGGCGGGAGAGGGAGACTGGGAGAATTGGTGGCTGCTGAGCTGTTTGGCTGAGCTGAAATGAGGCAGGAGCTAAGGACTGTGCCAGTCTCCTGGCCCTTCTCTCCTGCCCCCCGCCAACCCCCACCCTGGAGAGAAAGCAAACACAGCTGCTGTCAGGAACACCGTGTACACCCTTAATGAATTCTTCTTGAAAAGCTCCAAGCCCACCACCTGGGTCGCCCAACTAGTCCCCTGCCACCCCAATCCCCGCTAGACCAGCGGTTCTCTGTTGTCTGACTTCCTGTGGTAAGTATTCGGGGGTTTTATCCAGTTGTCGCAATGGATCCTGCTTGGACTGGAGGGATGGCTCTTCTCTTCTTTTGAACTGTTATTTACAAGTCTCATTTGTCTTTGCATATTAATAGACTGTCTGACTAATTCGATTCTGAACGTTTTCTTTTTGAGACCGAGTCTCGCTCTGTTGCTCAGGCTGGAGTACAGTGGCGCCATCTCATCTCGCTGCAACCTCTGCCTCCTGGGTTCAAGCAATTCTCGTGTCTCGGCCTCCCAAGTAGCTGGTATTATAGGCGCCCGC